TTTATAAAAAAACAGAGGAAATAGGTTTCAGAAACCGCACCCTGGTTCCAGAATTGAGTTTTTATGGCCGAAAAATAACAAGTTTGGGAAGTCGTGAAATTCTGTAGAGCAGGATGTTAGAACTAGTTTGAGACGATTCCATTTTCAAACACTAGAGGGCACTGTGTCCCAACCTCTCTCAAAAATGACATTTTTAATTCATCCTCAAGAGATGCAGAGAACTGAACTACGTATTTCCAAACAGTCCACTCTGACAGTTCCCCTTAAGTACGAAACAACTACCAGCCAGCAAAATAAAAAAAGATTTCCATTCATAATGTGTGAAATATGAGGCTTTGAAATATTTAATTCATTTATTAAAAGGGCATCTTTTTGATCAATTATAAATGAATGACCTGATTAGACACATCAGGTTATTTTTAATGCATCTCCGGAGATCTCCTATTTTCATTTTGGCTTGTATTATTATACCTGAGGAGATTTTTAATGCCATTCAAAAGTTATGTCCAAATTTATTAAATCTGGGATGGAAAAAAAATCTGCATCTCCTCTGTTCAGTATTTTGAGGATGAATTCGCCTTCCAAATACCATTAATTGATTGATATCCGTCACTTTTTTTCCCTCTGGAGCATTCTGGGAAAACAGAGATGGCCATTTTGATAGCCACATTCTCGCTCCCAAAGAAACAAACCAATGGACGCCTTTTATACAGGTATTTCTCAACTTACAATTCATTTAGTGACCAAAATTACAACAGCACTGAAAAAAGCGACTTATGACTGTGTTTCACACTTACAACTGTTGCAGCATCCCCTGGTCATGTGATCAAAATTTGGACATTTGGCAACTGACTCCTATTTATGACGGTTGCAGTGTCCCGGGGTGACGTGATCCCTTTTTGCGGCCTGCTGACAAGTGACGTCAATGGGGAAGCTGGATTCACTTAACAACCATATTATTAAATTAACAACTGCAGTGATTCACTGAACAACTATGACAAGAAAGGTCGCAAAACGTGTCAAAACCCACTTAAAAACTGTCTCACTTAACCACAGAAATTTTGGGCTGAGTTGTGGTCGTAGGTTCGAGGACTACCAATATGTATTTTTACACTAGGCATGTTTACATATATTTTTTGTGACTGGCGAAATCTTTCAACTTCAAGAACGCTAAATACTGAATGTGTCACATGCCAAGTTGGAAATCTGAGTTTGGTTAAATTCTGATAAAAATGAAAATTACGTAAAATTCTCCCCCTCCTTAATTCTAACCAAGTTTCCCTTCCCTCTCCCAGATCAGCTGTACATATAACACAGTTCACACTTGCAAGGGGTTCAAATCCACAAAGAGCCGATGGTCATGTGATCCTCTAATCCGCCAGAGACTAAGCGCCAAAGGCCTCGAGCTGCCATCAGACATGGATGAAACGTGGACTTCTCTTCAAACATGGCTTATGGGGGTGCATAGAAACGTAGGACCAACATTGGGAACGGCATGCAGCTTACTAAGTGTCCCAAATCAGGTGGCTATAGGGATGCTGCAGAGGTCATAAGTGTGAGGACTGTTTGTAAGTCACTTTTTTCAGTGCCATTTAACTGTGAATGATGACTGAACGGATGGCTGTAAGTCGAAGAGGGCAGAGAGACCGTGGAGGATGCCCTTGGAGTTTTCGTTTGTTTGTTTTTGTTTTCTCATTTATTTATTATTTTTAAGGATTGATGTTTATTCATTATTTATTTATTATTTATTTATAGCTCGTCGCATAGTCAGACAGATGTTCAGACTGGATTTGGCATTTTTATCCACCTATCCAGTCCTTCCTAAGGACTTGGGATAGGTAGATGTGAATATTTGATGATGATATTATTATTATTATTATGGATCATCGCACAGTCAGCCAGATGTTCAGACTGGATTTGGCATTTTGTCTACCTATCGAGTCCTTACCCAGGACCTGGGATAGGCAGATGTGGATGTTTGATGGTATTACAAATATCGTCGCAGGATGGAAGCAGTTCCTAATAAGGCCGCCTTTTGCAATTGACTAATAGTGAATTTGTCAATGCCAATGGTGTTCAAGTGGTGCTCCAGTTGTTTTGGGATTGCGCCCAAGGAGCCTATGACTATTGGTAATACCCTTGCTTGCTTTTGCCACAGTCTTTCTATTTCTATTTGTAGGTCTTTGTATTTTGTTATCTTCTCCAGTTCTTTCTCGTTTATTTTGCTGTCTCCAGGCACTGTTGTTGTTGTTATTATTATTATTATGGATCATCGCACAGTCAGACAGATGTTCAGACTGGATTTGGCATTTTGTCTACCTATCGAGTCCTTACCCAGGACCTGGGATAGGCAGATGTGGATGTTTGATGGTATTACAGGTATCGTCGCAGGATGGAAGCAGTTCCTAATAAGGCCGCCTTTTGCAATTGACTAATAGCAAATTTGTCAATGCCAATGGTGTTCAAGTGGTGCTCCAGTTGTTTTGGGATTGCGCCCAAGGAGCCCATGACCATTGGTACCACCCTTGCTCGCCTCTGCCACAGTCTTTCTATTTCTATTTGTAGGTCTTTGTATTTTGTTATCTTCTCCAGTTCTTTCTCTTCCACTCCGCTGTCTCCAGGCACTGCCACGTCCACTATCCAGACTTTTTTGTCCTTCTTATCGACAATTGTTAAGTCTGGGGTGTTATGCTGCAGGTGCTTGTCCGTTTGAACTCCGAAGTCCCAGAGCAGTTTAATTTTATCATTTTCTATGACTTTCTCCACTTTATGATCCCACCAGCTCTTGCCTACAGGCAAACGATATTTTTTGCAGATCTTCCAATGCACCATTGTTGCTACTCCGCCATGTCGCTGCTTGCAATCAGTCTGCGCAATCCTCCTGCAACAGCCCACCAAGTGGTCCACCGCCTCCCCAGCCTCCCTGCACAGGCGGCACCCACTGTCTGTTGCTGTCCCCTCAACCCTGACTCTGTATGCATTTGTCCTCAAGGCTTGGTCTTGTGCAGCCAGAATTAATCCCTCGGTCTCCCTCTTCAATTTTCCTGCTCTTAGCCATTGCCAGGTTTTATTATCATCTGCTTTCCCAGCTATTCTCTTAATGTATTGGCCATGTAGTGCTTTGTCTTCCCATGCCTCCATTCCGCTCTTCATTTGGTCTTTCCTGCAGGCCAGTCCGGTCCCCCCAGCAGCCAGCAAGCCTTCCTGATATACCAATTTCAGTGCATCCCCATCACCGTTCCCCAGACATTCCTCCAAAGCCATTCTTTCTTCCTCAACCATCTGATGTACCTGCAGCACTCCACGCCCACCCACCTGCCCCGGTAGACAAAGTCTATCAATGTCACTGCGTGGATGAAGGGCGTGATTCACCGTCACCACTTTTCTGGTCTGCCTATCCACCGCTTCTAGTTCTGCTTGAGTCCAGTCCACCACTCCAGCTGTGTATCCAATGACCGGGATTGCCCAGGTGTTGACCGCCTCCATGGCATCTCCTCCACTGAGCCTGGATTTTAAGATCTTCTTCACTCTCTTGATGTATTCACCTCCAATCTCCTTCTTGACCTCAGCGTGCTCGATGTTGTCAGCTTGAAGGACACCCAAGTACCTGTAGTATTCTTCCTCATCCAGACTCTCAATGTTATCTTCGTGGGGCATCTTGACTCCCCCAGTCCTCACCACTTTTCCTTGTTTGATAGCAAGTGCGGCACACCTGTCCAAGCCAAACTCCACCACAACATCCTGGCCATATATACGGACAGTGTTGAGCAGCGACTCCACTTCAGATGATGTCCCTCCATACAGCCTCAGATCATCCATGCAAAGGAGGTGGGACAGTCCAGCAGATGTCCCTGATGTTTGATAACCATGTCCTGAGCTATTCAGCACTGTTGACAGAGGAAACAGTGCAACAACAAATAGTAATGGTGACAATGAATCTCCCTGAAATATTCCTCTCCTGATATCAACCTCTCCCAGCCCCTCACCATCGATCCGCAACTGCGTCTTCCATTGCGCCATCGACCCTTGCACAAATTTTCCGATGTTTCCACTTACTCCTGTTATTTCTAGGCACCTGATCACCCAGCCATGTGGCAGAGAGTCAAATGCCCTTTTGCAGTCAATCCATGCCACATTCAGGTTGGTCCTACTTCTCCCGCAGCCCTCCAAGATCATTCTGTCCATTAGGAGTTGATCTTCTGTTCCTCCGCCACTGGGGCGGTTTCCTTTCTGCTCAGGTGGAAAGAGACTGCCCTCAACTAGATGCTGTTGCACTGCATCAGCTACCACACCAGCCAGTAATTTGAAAGTTGTTGGTAAGCAGGTAATTGGCCTGTAGTTACCTGGTGTTGCCCCTCTTGCTGGATCCTTCACTACTAGGCAGGTTCTCCCAGTTGTCAGCCACTCCCCAACCTCTCCTCCCTGTAGTATACCGTTGAATTGCCTGGCAATGAGTGGGTGTACAACAGCCAGATGTTTCAACCAAAACCCATGCAGTTCATTATTATTATTATTATTATTATTATTATTCACGCAGTCAGCCAGATGCTCAGACTGGATTTGGCATTTTTCTCCACCTATCCAGTCTTTCCTAAGGACCTGGGATAGGTAGATGTGGACGTTTGATTATTATTATTGTTATTGTTACTATTTGGCAATTTGTCTACCTATCGAGTCCTTACAGAGAACTGGGATGATGATGATGATTTTATCTATTAATTTTTGCTGGATGATAGACATGTATTTATCCCAAGTGTGTTTAAACTCAGTCACTAATGACTGATCCACCACCTCCGCTGGAAGTTGATTCCAAGTTTCCACTATAGGTAGGCCTCAACTTACAGTCTCAATTGAGCCTATTTCTGTTGTTAAGTGAGGTATTTGTTAAGTGAATTTTCCCCCATTTTACGTTGTTCCTTTGAATGCTCACCAAAGGAACTTAAATTGTAAGTCGAGCACTACTGGTACTATTTCTGTGAGTAAATGAGCAAAGCAGAGAATACCATAACCTCCCTGTTTATTTTAAGGCCTGCCCATGCAATTCATCCCAAGGTCCAGGGATCCACCAGCCCTTTCGAACGCCCTGTTCCCACGGAAGGAGGCTGTTTTTCTTTTACCTCTAGCACAACCTCCCACCTTCTCCATCGTTTGATATTATTTTGGCAATTTCTGAGTCAGCTTGATTGATGTCACGAGAGCCTTGGAGATGTTGTTTGGAGTCACTCTCTGTTTCTGGGATGACGCTGACTCTCTCACCCTCTCTGCTCAAAGGCTCCTCATGATCAGGGGATTGAAGGCTAAAACATAAGAAAAAAGGGTGGCTTTGAGTTGGGCATATCTAGTCTAATGAAGAGAAGGACGAGGGGGGACATGATAGCAACGTTCCAGTATCTCAGGGGCTGCCACAAAGAAGAGGGAGTGAAGCTATTTTCCAAGGCATCTGAAGGCAGGACGAGAAGCAATGGATGGAAACTAATCAAAAAGAAAAGCAATCTAGAACTAAGAAGAAACTTCCTGACAGTTAGAACAATTAACAGGTGGAACAACCTGCTCCAGAAGCTGTGAATGCTCCAACACTGGAAGTTTTTAAGAGACTGGACAACAATTTGTCTGAAATGGTATAGGGTTTCCTGCCTGAGCAGGGGACTAGATGACCTCCAAGGTCCCTTCCAACTTTATGATGATAATGATGATGATAGAGAAGGCCCTTGGGAGTCCCTTGGACTGCAAGGAGATCCAATCAGTCAATCCTCAGGTTTTCCTGCCAGAGCAGGGGTTGGACTAGAAGATCTCCAAGATCCCTTCTATTCTATTCTATTCTATTCTATTCTATTCTATTCTATTCTATTCTATTCTATTCTATTCTATTCTATTCTATTCTATTCTATTCTATTCTATTCTATTCTATTCTATTCCATTCCATTCCATTCCATTCCATTCCATTCCATTCCATTCCATTCCATTCCATTCTATTCTATTCTATTCTATTCTATTCTATTCTATTCTATTCTTTCATCTACAAAGTTTCTCCTTCTGAAAAGAGGCAAATTCAGGCAAGAATGTTTAAGGGCCTTGCGGAGGCTATACAGATAGTCCTCAACTTACAACCATTCATTTAATGACCGTTTAAAGTTACAATGGCACTGAAAAAAGTGACTTATGGCCATTTTTCACACTTATGACCATTGCAGCATCCCCTGAGTCACGTGATCAAAATTCAGATCCTTGACAACTGAAATATATTTATGACGGTTGCAGTGTCCCGGGGTCATGTGATCACATTTTGGGGCCTTCTGACAAACCATGTCAATTGGGAAGCCAGAGTCAGGATCCAAGCTGGATTGGTCACTGGGACCAGAGACTTTGTCTTTTAGACTCATGCGAGGCCCATCTTCAGGGAACGAGTTTGAAATCTCGGAAGACTAAACCTCTGGTCCCAGTGATCGACCCAGGTTGAATCCTGCAACATTATCCTGGGACACGTAGATTTGTCTTGACTCGTAAGCCAGGTTCACTTAACAACCGTGTGACTAACTTCACAACTGCAGTGATTTGCTTTAGAACTGTGGCAGGAAAAGTCCTAAAATGGGGCAAAACTCACTTAACAACGGTCTCACTTAGCAACAGAAATTTTGGGCTCAGTTGTGGTCGTAATGGGATCTGTGGATCAATTAACCCACTTATAACAAAAGGATGGGAAGGAGAATTGGATAAAGCCCAAGTGTAGTTACAGTTGGTTCTTGACTTCCACTATTCATTTAGTGACCGTTTGACGTTACAATGGTAGTGAAAAAAGTTAATAACCCGGTTGTTAAGTGAATCTGGCTTCCCCATTGACTTTGCTTGTCAGAAGGTCGCGAAAGGGGATCGCATGACCTTGGGACACAGCAACGGTCGTAAGTATGAGTCAGCTGCCAAGCGTCTGAATTTTGATCACATGACCCTGGGGACGCTGCAAAGGTTTAACTGTGAAGAGAGGTCATAAGACACATTTTTCAATGCCTTTGTAACTTTGAACGGTCAGTAAATGAACTGTTGTAAGTCGAGGACTACCTGTATTCCGCTTTTAAACAGCCTTCGCTACACCATTGCCGTACATTATTCTTGGGATTTCATTTGGGATAGAGCATCCTTAGTCAGTAATGCATTTCATTTGTAAAAAAAAAAATTCTTCTTCCCTCGTTTTATCTTTTTAGACTCAAACCTCTTTTGGAAGAAGCAAGATAAGAGTAATTTGCCTTTCTTCCTTTGCATATAAGAGTGATATTTTCTGCCTCGAAGCACTTTTCATTGAGCTGATATTTATTTGTGCAAATAAATAAATATTTATTTATTGTTACATTTTTAGGAATATATTTTTAAACATGGAACTGAATTTGGGTGCATGGAATTGAATTTTGGATAGGGTGTCCCATACAAAGGTGGATTATAACTGTCAAAAGAAGCAAGCAAAATTTCATAGAATCATAAAGTAACGGTAACAGTATAATAGAGTTGGAGAGGACCTTGGAGGTCTTCTAGTCCAACCCCTTGTTCAAGCAGGTGTACCATTTCAGACAAATGGCTGTCCAGTCTCTTCTTAAAAACTTCCAGTGATGGAGCATCCACAACTTCTGAAGGCAAGTCGTTCCATTGATTAATTGTTCTCACTGTCAGAAATTCCTCCTTAGTTCTAGGTTGCTTCTCTCCTTGATTAGTTTCCATCCGTTGCTTCCTGCCTTGTGATCTGGTGCTCTGGAGAATAGGTCGACCCCCTCTTCCCTATGACAGCCCCTCAAATATTGGAAAACTGCTATCAAGTCACCCCTAGTCCTCCTCTTTGTTAGACTAAACCAGGGGTAGGCAACCTTGGCTCTTTTATGACTGGTGGACTTCAACTCCCAGAATTCCTGAGCCAGCCATGCTGAGGAGAAAGGGAGAGGTTTCCATGTTGAGCCATGCCGGCTCAGGAATTCTGGGAGTTGAAGTCCACCAGTCATAAAAGAGCCAAGGTTGCCTCCCCCTGGACTAGACGTACCCAGTTCCTACAACTGATCATCACATGTTTTATCCTCCAGTCCCCTAATTATCTTTCTTGCTCTTCTCTGCACTCTTTCTAGAGTCTCAACATCTTTTTTGTATCTTGGTGACCAAAACTGGACTCAGTACTCCAAGTGTGGTCTTACCAGTGTCATATAAAGTGTACTAACTCTTCTCATGATCTTAACACTTCTATTGATGTGGCCTACAACCCACATTGGCCCTTTTGGCAGCTGTAGCACATGGCTGGCTCATACTGAAATGGTTGTTCACTAGGACTCTTAGATTCCTCTCACAGTTACTGTTGTTGAGCCAGGCACCACCTATTTTACACCTGTGCACTTGTTTTTTTCTTGTCTAAGTGTAAAATCTTACAGGAAAGACTATTTAGGATCCAAGACTCTAACTAATACAGGAATCTAAATTAAAGGACACGTTCCCAATAGAATAAATTGCTATCTAGTTTCCTTTTATTTTTCTTCTGTTTCCATTTAAATGTCATGAAACAATGATATGATGCCCGCAAAACTCATTGCCAAATATTGAAATAGGCACTTTCTCATACTTTTAAATCATTTTGGCCCAAACTGATGAAGAATGGAAGCAGAAATAAACAAATACAGCTTCATACTAACTGTTAAAATATATAGGATTTAAATTATTGACATTCATAGCCAAGCAACATTATTTGTCATATATATATATGTCATATATACACACATACACACAAACACACACACACACACACCTGCTTGTGTTTTGAATTTGCAGTTTTATCGTTTTGTTTTATTTTATTGCAAATGCTCCTTCTCTTCCCTGTCGCGGCCAAGAAGATTAGCATCTTAACAGCGGCCTAAAATTATGCCTAAATATTACATCAAGGTCATTTTAGCCATACTGAAAACTTTCTTTCCTAAAAGAGGACCGAAATACAAAGCTCTGATGACCTCATGGAAAAGATGACCGGGAGGAAAACAAAATATTTGGAAGAAAAAGAATTTCAAAATCCAGACAGCTGCAGCAGAAAAGGTTTGGGGGCGGGGGGGGGGGGCTGCTGTGTGCTTGCGCCAATGTTTGCAGAGGTGAATAGATGAAAGTGATGTCCCTTGAGAACAAACAGGTTGACCCATGACCATTTTATCCAAAACCTTTTACAGGCCTTCCAGCCTGAACCTCTTTCCACAGTCTGTTGTGGTTCCAGCTAATGAAACCTTTCAAAGAACTTCCAGGCATTTATTTTCCTAAAAGTCTTTTATTGTTACAAAATGTCGGCACAGGCACAATGGAGGGATGCTAGGATCTAAGTTCTCTTCCTCTGAGCAGTTAAATTATCAGCATGTTCCCTCCCTAAATTAGCCAGTCATATCTCACACTATCCAATTAGTGTGAAGGTCAAATGTTTTCTTCCTCTTTCTTTCCCCGGCTTTACCCCCAACGCCCCTTCTGCTCTTTATTAACCCCATATTTACCACACAATTCTGCATATTGTCAAAAGCAAGAATATACAATATTTGCAGCGTTGACACAGTCACAAGAACAAGTGGGAAAGTCCCTCCTGGATCCATTCTTAGACTTCCAGCTCAGCGGTGCACAGAAGCCACCCATCATCAGTTCTGTGCATGGCTATTAGGGGAGGCTCTGGCAAAATCCAGTTGGAGGCCAGTCCTGCTGGTCTCCTTCAGCAGCCCCCCCCCCGCCCCCCGAGCCTCCTAATAGAGAAAAACAGATCTGGCCACCAGGTGACCATAACCTCCACCAGATGACCAGAATCTCCACCAGGAACCCAGGATCTTCACTATGAGATCAGGGCTTCCATCAAGAGAGCAGGACCTGCACTAGGAGCTCAGGACCTCCACCAAAGCAACTAAGAAGATTAAAGGCCTGGAGCTAAAACATTTGAAGAATGATTGCAGGAATTGTGTATGGCTAGTCTAGAGAAAAGAAGGTCTTGGGGGGGGGGACATGATAGCAGTATTCCAGTATTTGAGGGGCTGTCACAAAGAAGAGGGGGGTCAACTTATTTTCCAAAGCACCAGAGGGCAGGACAAGAAACAATGGATGAAAACTAATCAAGAAGAAAAGCAACCTGGAATTAAGGAGAAACCTCCTAACAGTGCGGACAATTAACCAGTGGAACAGCTTGCCTCCAGACATTGTGGGTGCTCCATCACTGGAGGCTTTTAAGAAGAGACTTGACAACCACTTGTCTGGAATGATTTAAGGTCTCCTACTTGAGCAGGGGGTTGGACTAGAAGACCTCCAAGGTCCCTTCCAGCTCTATTCTGACCAGAACCTCCACCAGCTGACCAGAACTCTATTCTGACCAGAACCTCCACCAGCTGACCAGAACTTCACGATGAAATCAGGACCTCCACCAGAGATCAGAACCTCCACCAGGATCTTCACCAGGAGCCCAGGGCCTTCACTCTGAGATCATGGCCTTCACCAGGAGCCCAGGACCTCCTTTCTATTGGGAAGATCAGGAGATCAAAACCTCCACCCGGAGCCCAGGACCTCCACCTGGAGATCAGAACCTCCACCAGCTGACCAGAACCTCCACCAGGAACCCAGAACCTTCACTCTGAGATCATGGCCTTCACCAGGAGCCCAGGACCTCCTTTCTGTTGGGAAAGGGGACTGTAGCTTGGGCCAGGCCCAGACCCTCTCTCTCTGCTCAGAAATTTGTGAAATACAACTTCTTCCCTCCTCCCCCCTCTTGCTTTTCTGGACTTTCTCTCTCCCCCCTCAAGCGGAACTGTTCCCAGAGAAACATTCCATCGCACAAGGGCTAACGACTTTCTTCTGTGCCCTTGCATTAATGAGTCCGGGGCCCGGCTCTCGTCAGAGAGAAGCCATGCACGAAATTGCTTGAATTTTTAATTCAGGAGGGTTATGATAGGGAGAATCAAAGTCACACACTCCAGTCGCCGAGGCCGGGGCTGACACGGGCCATTGGCTTGGCCAATATTCTTTGATTTTCTCCAAATATTTCTCCATTGCCACCTCCCCGATCCACCACTTCCTTGCCTGTCCCTTTGGCAAGGCCAGGCACCTCGTCTGGGTGCTTTTTAAGCAACCTGGACACCCTCCCAGCCTAGGAACCGTGGTTATCATCTTTCTCCCCACCTCCCAGCCCCACGGAGTTTATTTTGCACCTGGAGCTGCTGCACAGTTCTGGGAGACTGACTCTGTTGGCAGCCTCCCTCCCTCAGCTTCCCTTCTCTCGCCCAGAAGGTGGACGCGCCCAATAAGAAACAGGGCCTTCAAAAAGAGGACAATTTTCATTCTGCCTCCCCCGGTGAGGTAGCTGTGACCTCCTTGGGAACCAGGAGGACATCAAATGAGAAGCTTGTCTTTGGGAAGGGTCACTTCTGGGATCAAGGGCCACCACTCTGCTTTGTGAGAAAGGGCGTTGAAGGCGGGCCAACGGAGGCATTGCAAACAACAACAACACCCCAGCATCGTCCTCTCACTTGCGATGCTGGAGGGACGGTCCTTTTCTTTCAGCCAAGGAGGGGAAAAAATGGAAGATTTTTTTTTTGCCAAGAATAGTTTTTCCAGAGGAATCTGGGAAAAATAGGGATACAGGTAGTCCTTGACTGTTATGATCACAACTGAGCCCCCAAATTTCTGTTGCTAAGTGAGACAGTTGTTATGTGAGTTTTGTCCAGTTTCATAACCTTTCTTGCCATAGTTGTTAAGTGAATCATCGCAGATGTTGAATTACTAACACAGTTGTGAAGTGAATCTGGCTTTCTCCGTTGACTATGGTTGTCAGAAGGTCACAAAAGGGGATCACATGACCCCTGGGACATTGCGGCCATCATAAATATGAATCAGTTGCCAAGCACTTGAATTTTGACCATGTGACCCTGGGGGTCGTAAGTATGAAAAATGGTCCTAAGTGACTTTTTCCAGTGCCGTTGTAACTTCGAACAATCACTAAATGAACTGTTGTAAGTCAAGAACTACCTGTATTTTCTTTGTGCTGTAAGGACTCTAGAATAGGGGTCACTTAGCACACAAAACCACGCACTCTGTGGTCCGTGGAAAAACTTTTCTCCATGGAATGGTCCCTGGTGCCCAAAAGATTGGGGAACCTCTGTTTTAGAGGATCTATTGTAACAATGAATGTTCATTAAGCAACTGGTCATTAAGTGAGGAATACCTGTACACAGAATGTGAGTGCGTGTGTTTATGTATGTGTAAAAAGTACGGGGAGGGGCAGTGATGCCAGTTCAGCAGGACCAGCTGACAAGCATCTTCCCTGACCTGATAACAATCCCATTTTAAAATTTATATTAAAAAGTTTACAAAAAAAAAAACAAACTATGCAAACAAGTGCAGTGCCAATTTGCACTGGGGGCTGCAAAAATGAGATCTAGGTAAGATAAGGTAAATTCCCTATCCCTCCAATAAAGAAAGGAGAAGCTGGCTACATTTCCTTGATATATTAAAATGTAATGCTAGTTTTACTTTTCAGAGGACAAAAAAATAGTCTGATGTATAAACAGATCTATGCTATAAGACCAATTACTATTTATAAGGACTCCATTGAGAAAACCTTTCCAGCACACTGTTTCTGCTGTCTAGAGACAGAAGGACTGGCAGCTTGAAGGACTTAAACGTTCAAAGAGAAGGTCTCAACCCTAACCCTAACCCTAACCTTTTGGGCACCAGTGACCGGTTCTGTGGAGGGAGAGTTTTTCCATGGACCGGAGGGGGCCTGGTTTCATATGCCTGCATCCCACCAATGGGGCTTTGCTTGTTTGTGTAGACCATTTTCTGGCATCCCGCAGCCTGGTGCCAATCCATGGACCAGGGGTTGGGGACCCCTGACTTAGGATGTTGAGTCCACCTCTGCTTATTGCAGGAATCCATGCTAAGGCAACCCAGACAGACAGCTATCTGGTCTCTGCTTCAGAGAGCAGGAAAACCAATGGGTTCCATTGCCAAATTCCTGCTGATTTTTTTTAAATGTTCAGTTAAAATACTGTAAATACATTGTTTCATGTCCTGGAGCAATTGCGTCTGGCTAACATCCTTTCAGGGTCCTAGTTGGGATCCACCCACAGCATTTACTCAACTGTTAAGGTTTCGTTTACAGACCTGTGATCTTCTTAGATGACTCCTGTGAACTTGTTCAATTTCTGTAAATCCTGCTTAGAAACAGGGGTGCTTGCTTGAGTTGGTGCCATCTAAAAATTCATTTGCTCTTTTTTTATTTATTTTTTTGCAGCTTTGTCTCACTGCTCATATCTGGTGTGTAATCACCCACCCGGTGTTTGCATAAGGGTTCAGCCCAGATTGAAGAAGGATGGTCCTGTTTAGACAAACAACTTCACAAAGCCAAACATGCTGATTTTTTTTTTCCTGTCTGTGTTTCATTTTCAAGGCTTAATTAGAAGTAAATAGAGCTGATACAATTTCCTTCCAGCCATCTATTACTCTCTGCTCACGAGAATTATACAGTTGGTCATTACCTGGGCAGATGTTTGAATCCAAGAGATGCATGTTCAAAAATCTGCCGAACTGGAGGTTTTTAAGAAGAGATTGGACAACCACTTTGTCTGAAATGGTATAAGGTTTCCTGCTAGAGCAGAGGGTTAGACTAAAAGACCTGCAAGCTCCCTTCCAGTTCTGTTATTCTGTTAACTTTCACCTTTTTTTCATCAGAGGAAACATGGACAATTAATTAGGCAGCTAATAACTACGGCCAAACTGACTTCTTAAACTACCCTGGTTTGTATAATTTAGGGACAAATGACAACCTATGCACCAGGGGCATCCAGAGAAGGAATAAAAAAAGACAACATTCTGCCTATGAGGTAAAAAAAGCAACATGACATGTGGGCTGTTATGGCCTCCATTTTGAGTTTTTAAATACCTCTTTCCCCACAGAAGATTCTGCACACAAGGATTGCAAGTAGAGCTGTCTCCACATAAGATGACTAGATTCACTCAGAAATCCAGAAAGGAACATCTAGAGCTTCTAGGACAGGAAATACAAATTAAAGCATTCTGTGAGGGAAGCAAGGAAGAGCAAATGGTGAGAAAGCGGGAAATCATGAGTTCAAATCCTGCCTTAGCGATGAAAGCAGGCTGGCTGATAGACCAATCACCAGGAGGCAGGGAGTTCTGGTCCTGCCTTAGTCATGAAAGCCAGCTGGGTAACTTTGGGCCAATTACCAGGAGACTGTGAGTTCTAGTCCTACCTAAGCATGAAAGCTGGTTGGATAACTTTGGGCCAACCATCAGGAGACAGTGAGTTTTAGTCCCATTTTAGGCATGAAAATCAGCTTGTGACTTTGGGCCAATCACCAGGAGACTGGGAGTTCTAGTCCCACCTTAGGCCTGAAGCCAGGTGGGTGACTTTGGGCCAATCACCAGGAAACGGTGAGTTCTAGTCCTACCTAAGCATGAAAGCCGGCTGGATGACTTTGGGCCAACCATCAGGAGACAGTGAGTTCTAGTCCTGCCTTAGGCATGGAAGCTGGCTGGGTGATTTTGGGCCAATCCCTCTCTCTCGCAGCCCAACCCACCTCACTGGGTTGTTATCATTGTCCGGAAAATAGTAGGGTGAAGGACTATTGTGTGTGTTCACCACCTTGAGTTATTTGTGGGATATAGAAAGAAAGAAAGATAGAGAGAGAGAGAGAGAGAGAGAGATAATGTAAGGAGCTGAAAAACATCTGGCAAAATCATCATCATCCTCGTGGACCCAGGTTGCCTTTCTGACTCAACAAATTTGTGACAAAATGCTCTTGGTGGAATTCTCTCTGGATTTGGACCATGCCAAATCAGACAGGATCGCAGAGACGATGCTATGACTCCCCCACCTTCATCCACCAGCTGCCACCAGTTTCTGCCAATTCCTTCATGCTCCATTACTAATGTTTGGGTGGGAACTTCAGTGGCCACCTCAGCTTCTCGGAGGTGCTTCCTGGGGTTGGAAGCCTCAGGCTAGCAATTATATATTCCTTCCAAAGGAGAAGAGAATAACCTAGCCACTACTCACCACCTATTTTTCTTTCCTGTTTCCTGATATGACGCATCGGCGTAATTTCTGTGATCATCTTAAAATCAGAACCCAGCTACATACTTTTTTATTTTTTCTGTAAAGAAAAAAAAAATTCCATAAGATCTATTTTGCCAAGGGCCCTTCCTCTGTGTTTCAGTGTTTCTCAACCTTGGCAACGTTAAGACAGATGGACTTCAACTTCAATATTATCTGGCTGGGGAATTCTGGGAGTTGAAGTCCACTTGTCTTAACGTTGCCAAAGCTGAGAAACACTGTTCTATTTGAAACGTTGTCTGCTGCCCAGGCCCATTTTAAGATAGACGGACAGACAAACATCGCTTGCTTCAAGCTGTCACCCTCCAAATTCAATAGATTATGACTTGACTGGGAATTTGGAGAATTATAATCTCAATATTCCCGGATAGGAATAGGTTAGGGAAGGCTGGATTAGTCTATGCAAATTTTATGTAAATCCCCACTAGTTGTCCTCCTTCAGACCCAATTATTTATTTAACAATATTAATAGCCTGTCTCAGTCCTGCGGGGTGCAATAAGGTTAAAGTTGACATGTAAAACATGACACAATTACAATAATGGCATTAATAATGGTTACATATCAGCAGAATTGCTCACTAATTAAGAATTACTCTATGGTAAGATGGGGGGCAATACATTTAATAAACAAACAAATAAATAAATTTAAGGAACAAAGACAGGGTTGTTACTAGTATACAAGGCACTCTTGTGCAGAATTCAATTTGCACCCCCAAATAATGTTTTAAATGTTCTATATTTAAACATATAATTAGGTTTATGAAACATAATTACGTGAGTTCCTGTGGGGTTGTGGGTAGTCCTCGTTTACTAACCACTCCCTCAGCAACTATTTCAAGTTACAATGGCACTGTATGAGGGGGACTTAAAATTGTTCCTTGTAGTTGTGGCCATTATAGCATCCCATGGTCAAAAGATCGCCCTCTGCATGCTTCTGATAAGCGAAATCAATGGGGAAGCCGGCAGGAAGTAGCAAGTCATGTCATATGCTTAATGACCTATGGCGATTTAGTCGACGGCCGCAGCCGTAATTGACAAACTGACATTGTAACTCAGTCACAATCATGTGACATTTGACTACAGGACCGTCACTTAGTGATAGATTTGAACAGGGAAGCCAGATTCACTGAACAGCTGGGTTAGTAACTTAACAACTGCAGTGATTTACTTAATAACTATGGCAAGAAAGGTTGTGAAATTCTCTTAACAACTGCCTCGCTTAGCAACAGAAATTTTGGGCTTGGTTGTGGTAGTCAAGGACTACCTATATCGCTATAGGTCAGCATGAACATGGTATTGTTTCAAAAATTTCTTCTGTGTTTTTAAAAATATTCTCCTTCCATTTGATGGCTTAAAATGCTGTCTTTTGATGGGGGGGGCATAAGAAGTACAGCCTCCTCTTTAAAGTGGCCGACAGCCTCTGAATTCCTAGTTTTAATTAGTTGCAAAGAAAGACTCAAGAGGATATTTATAATGGATAACTAATATTATGTAGAATAACTGCAATAAGATTACTAAACATGCAAAGATAGAAGAAGAGTGAAAAACACACAGTAGAAGATTGAATTATAACATGGATGGAATTGGTAGTTTGGTCAAGGAAAAACAATAAAGACTTTTTTTTAAAGACTGGAAGCCTTATATGGACTTTTTTTTTTAAAAAAAAAGAAAAGTCTGAAATGATGATTTATGGATTTGGGGATTAAAAGAGTCAAAATGGAAGGGGAAAGAGAAAGGTAATAATTATTCAGTAGAAAGAAGGGCAGAAGTTAAATGTATTTTCTTTTTTATTATTTTTTTTTCTTTTCTATGTTCTCCCCCCCCCAATTTTGTCTACTTTTACTAAAAAATTCTAATTAAAAATAAAATAGAGGATGTTTATAATGACAATCAGAAGCAATATTGGCAATAACTCAGGAGATATTGAGATATTGGCAGCACAAGAAGCAACGGATGGAACCAACCAAAACTAAGGAGAAATTTCCTGGCAATTAGAACAATTAATCAGTGGAACAACTTGCCTCCAGAGGTTGTGGGGGCTCCATCTCTGGAGACTGGACAACTATTCAGAATAGAACAGAGCTGGAAGGGACCTTGGAGATCCTGCTCAAGCAGGAGACCCTACATTTCAGACAAGTGGCTGTCGAGTCTCTTCTTAAAAGCCTCCAGTGATGGAGCACCCACAATGTCTGGAGGCAAGCTGTTCCACTGGTTAATTGTCCTCACTGTTAGGAAGTTTCTCCTTAATTCCAGAGTGCTTCTCTCTTTGATCAGTTTCCATCAGTTGTTTCTTGTCCTGCCCTCTAGTGCTTTGGTGAATAATGTGACCCCCCTCTTCTTTGTGGCATCCCGTCAAATACTGGAATACTGCTATCGTGTCGCCCCTGTTTCTATATTTGTCTGAAATGATATAGGATTTCCTGCTTGAGCAGGGGGTTGGACTAGAAGACCTCCAAGGTCCCTTCCAACTCTGTTATTCTGTTATACTGTCCCATCCAATCCAACTTTTGGCTTGGTGCAGGACTTCACATCAAAGCACCCCCAATGGATGGATGGAAGGTAACACTTGAAGCCATCCGGTAAGGAGCATCAAGTCCTTCTAAATAATTGGTTCCACCATCATCTTCTCTATTAGGATTCCAGTTTCCCAAACTTCAACTGGATCCTCCTACCTGTAACTCTAGATCATCTTTTCATGTCCTGCTCCGTGTGTCTGAGTAGCTCCCTTCTTTAAATCCAATCAAGTCTTCATATCTGCCTTAAATGTGAGACCAAGACACAATACACAACACTGATTTTAAAACACAAGATTCCTTAAAGTATCTTTCATGGAGAGACACCAAACATGCCTCTCCTTCTTATATTATTTCCAGGAGTTTGCATAATGTAATGTTTCTCAACCATGGCAGCCTGAAGATGTGTGGACTTCAGTTCTCAGAATTCTGAGAGCTGAAGTCCACACATCTTCAAATTGCCAAGGTTGAGAAACATTGACATATCTTAAGCAAAAAAGGAAAAAGAGGTGGGAGGAAGGAAGGGAAAGGAAGGGAAAGAAAGAAGGAAAGAAAGAAAAGAAAAGACTTAGAAGAGAGAAACAAGAAAGGAAGAAAGAAAGAAAGAAAAATGAAAAAGAAAAAGCAAGAAAGAAAAGCAAGAAAGTGAAAGAAAGAAAGAAAAGAAGAAGGAAGGAAGAAAGAAAATAAAGAAATAAGAAAAAGAGAAATCAAGCAAGCAAGCAAGCAAGAACAAAAGAAAGAAAGAAAGAAAGAAAGAAAGAAAGAAAGAAAGAAAGAAAGAAAGAAAGAAAGAGACTAAAACTAAGGTGATCATGTTGGCCAAATAGGTAGTTCTCATCTTACAACCATTTGTTTAACAATGGTTTAAAGTCTTGGAAAAAGTGACTTATGACCTGCACTTAAGACTGCTGCATTATCCTCACGGACACATGATTGCAATTTGAGCACCTGGCAACCAGCTCACATTTACAACTGGTAGTAGCAGCATCTTGAGAGGACATGATCATGATTTGGGACCTTCTTTTCTGATTTCTGGCAAAAAAAACACCCATTGGGGAAGTTGGATTTACTTAATGACTGCAGGATTCACTCAAGGACTTCCATAAAAATAGTCGTACTATCCGGTCTGACTCGACTTATGACTGCAATGACTCATGATGGGAACTCTGGTCCTAATTGTGGTGAGAAGTTGAGGACCACCTTTACTCGATCTGTAGTTGAAGAGGGTTAAATTTATCATTTGACAGTTATAAAGTCAATTTTCCGGTGGGTGCAGCTCAACCCTGGTGATTTAATGTCACATCTAGGGGGTTTTCTTGACAACAGAGCGGATGCAATTTGCTAGACTTTTTTTCTTCAACTTCCCCTGATAGTGCTGAAAATCCTTGGATGTCTCCCCTTTGAATAAAGAACAAGTCTCACCCTGGTTAGCTTTTTCAACCCCACTTGGAAAATACAATCCCCTCCAATAGAACAACATAACAACAGCATAGCACAAAGATGATTAGGGGACTGGAGGCCAAAACCTATAAAGAACGGTGGCTGGAATCAGGTATGTCTAGTTTAATGAAGAGAAGGACGAAGGGAGACACG